CAATAAAAATGTAAAAAAAATAGTGGGATCTTGTATCAACAATTTATAACATCAGTTTACTGAAAAATGAGAGGGATAAGGGGAAAATAATGTTTACAGTAAAGATTTCAATTTTATATCTAAAAATTATATTTGCATAGTAACTTTTATGATAATTTATTAATATTTCGCAAAAAATAACAAGTTACAAAAAATATATACATATTATCAACTAACAAGGTTCTATCCAGTCGCTCTTAGAAATTTATTTGGCTAAAGCTAAAGCCTTAAGAGATATACTAAAATAATGTAGTAGAAAATTAAAGGTCTTAAAATGTGCGTGTTTCACGCTAAAAGTACTAAATCGCTATTAAATCAATTTTGTGTAGTGATAACTTATTACTCGGGTTAACATTTAGAATATCATTTACTACAGGAAAATCTTTCATTCCCACGGGAAAACACAATAATTGGTTCTATCGAGTCGTTCTTAGTTTACCTGTCTAACGCTGGCTAAACCTTAAAAGACATCAAAACAATATACTAGAAAATTGTAGGTCTTAATAAGGCCTACAGAAAAATCTGCAAAAGCATAAGTCTTTCTCCTAAGGTACACTATTCATATCTATAACCTACCTAAGGACGCACCCGAGCGAAGCAAGTGTAAGTCATTATATTTTATATAGAAACTGAGTTATTCTCGAAAGAAAAACTAAATAATGCTGTAAAAGGAATGTACTATACTAGAAGTAGCATCGTGTTTTTGGGACAACCCTTAAAAACATTAGCGGAAGGTTTTAAAAGGTAAACTTTTAAGTTTTTAGTATAAGAAATTAAAAAAATACAAAATTAGCCAAATCCATTCACTATTGCTGGGTTCCGGGTTATAAACCTAATTGCACTCGACTATACATACCATTATGATCAGTATCGGCAACGTCAATACTGGCATCATCGTTATCAGTAATTCAGACTTGAGTTTTATGTATTTCTGCATTGCTGGAGGGTTGAAAACTATGTCTTTCACCTCTTTAACATATGTATATTCGATATGGCCAATTACCTTCGGTCAACAATATTACTAGATAACGTGTCACATGCAAAATAAAAGCTAAATTCTGTCCGCGCCCATATCTACTTAATACAACATATAGCTACATTTTTATACTAACGAACCAAAGCAAAGTCTTATTTATAATCGTTTTATTTTCAACCTATTCAATTTCATAACACCTTATAAGAAAGCCACAAATCTTCAAATTATCATCATACACTAACGATCATTTCGTAAGTTTTATAATATTTATTGTAAAATCAACCTTAATCCCTCAAGGACCGCGGACACGCCGGCGTTACAGTTAACAATAGATTTCTTAGAAAATTAATTTCTTAGAAATTTACCTGGAGGTGTATTAAAAAACATAAAGCACTTTTTCCAGTTGTTGCTTTGTGAGCTAAATCGTTATGTTTTGTTCCTGTTTGCTTCTTAGAATTTCGTCAAACGTTCTTAGCGGATTTAAAATTGTTCTAAATTTCATTTTTATATTATTTCGTAGGTTAAATCTTAAAATATTGATTAATCTACATGTACCTAACAAAAATAAGATACTCCGTACCTACGAAAACTTTCTTCTTCACGCATTATTTTTGCAACTTTTAAATACCTACACATTGCGGCATTGTGAACGTGTTTACGCTTGCGGTGTTTCATTAGAACTATAACCGAAATAAACACTCACTTTGCAAGTGAGCTTATATTTACCGAGACCGATTTCTTATGCGGACACGATATCTAGTAGTATTGTTAATCGAAGCCAATTACAAAATAAAATTTAGTGACGTTGTTTGTAATATTAACAAGAGCTGTATGACGTTCCAGTTGAGCAAACCATATCTCTGGGTCATCAGGATAAAACGGTGGTTCACGGGTTTCAACCTTATGAATTTCAGACGTCGAAGCATCTCGAGACGGTTGCCCGAATTCGGCATCTTCGTTCTACATTTTACAGTACAGGAACGCCGGGGTAACCAGTATAGCCGTTGCAGCAATGTATGATTATTAAAACTATTTCATTCCAAATAGAAATAAATATCGTGCATATAATTGAACGCCTCTTAACTGTTTTTTTTACAAAATCTGTCAAATATTATGTAAAGGCTATTAAAAAATATCTTAATCAAAAATACTATAGTATTAAAAGAATGTGTGTATATATTTGTACCTACATCATCATAGCTGGAAGATGCCACTGCTGTGTACTCGTATTTATAGTGTGCGCCGAGCCTTATACTTTATAAGAAGTTACTTAAAATTAGATTAAGACGAAGTAATTAAAGAAACGCACTTCGGATAGCAAATACGTTGTCTAATTTATTGTCTGGTTTTGTTCCCAACAATATATATCGATACTGGCAGGGTCGTCTTACCATAAACAGTATTTAGATACTGCATAGGATTCTCCTTAATAATCTATTACTATTTTCTAAACAAATACCTAGAACTCCTAAAGCCTTATCTCCCTGCAACATTTAATTAAAAGTGTATCAGTGGCTTGAATTCGTATGAACAAACACATCCATGTATATAATATGACTATATAATTAGATAAAATTACTGTGAATCACAATGAGGTAATTTTTGAAGATTCCATAATCATTTTTATTAGGTATAGGTATTATTTATGATACGTCTGCGTCACCCAATGTTACTGCATTCTACGATGTTAGTAGCGTCACATGATTAAATTGTAGTCAATATCCTTACAGAAACAATATCTGCATTACTTGTTTATTGGAACGATGTTACTTATCGTACGTTATGCTCGGCCGAGTCGGCACCCTTGGCGAATGAGAGTTAGACGGAAACCTTACCAACTAAGAGTACCCCGAGTGACGTCGTCACAAGTACCAGGCGAGTATAAGTGTTAAGGAATATAATATGTAGTAAGTAGTCCATATGGACTGGTATGATGGGGTCCAATTATTGTCACCAAATATAATGAGCTGGGCAGCCCTCATATGGGATCATAAATGCCAAGTGATCATAATTGTTAAGGAATGCATGTTGTAAGACTGCACTCCTTTGCTCTCTGTGAATGTGCAGGCCTCGCTTCGGTAAGCTATCGGTAAGCGGTTTATGATATCCGAAAATGACCTAATTTATGAGCCAAAGGCAGACAGATAGTCAAAGAAACTTCGTTCTTACCTCACGAGTCATGACACGTCTCTAAAGTTTTTTTTTAAATAAATAATAATCAATTTACCGATATTCTTCACAACATTTGTTATTTTAAAGTACGTATATTTAAACGAGTCCAATAATAACAATTTAAATTTTTTTTTTCATTTGGATGATTTAAAGTTGCTATCTCCTTATGATAAGTAATGCAATTAACACAAAAATCAGCTACACTGAGGATAAAATTGAATTAATATCAGTCTGTCATTTGGAAATAACTGATTGTAATAATTATGTTTATTAGTTTTTGTAGATTTTTATAAATCGTTTATATTGGTTTTTTTTATTTCAAATCATTTCTTTGTTACAGGGCATCAGGTAAAAATATGCCTGGCAACCGGGGCTTGGCAGCAGTAGTTCAGTGATAGCGCGCTAACTTAGCAAACCCACTCCTACCGGGTAGGAATTCCTCAATCAGAGGACTAAAATGTTAGGATGTATAAATTACAATGCAAATTTTTAAACCTTAAAAGTACACTATATGATAACTAGTTTTAAAACGTAAGTATTTTTTTACACGAAATAGATTTTTTGTTATAAGCGGTAAGACACACCACTTCGCCGCGCAACATATAATGAACTTCTACGCCGTTTGCCCGATGTCCTTAAAAATGACTTAATTGATTAATTACCAATTCCCGTTATTACACGGGTACGAATATTATAATTATTCATTGATATGTTAATAAATATAATTAAAGTGACCCGCTAATTGGTTATAATTTGTTCATCTGTTTATCGTCAGCTCACGATATAATGTGTATACATTTTAATTTGTGGCTGAGTGTTTTTCTTCAATTAATACCATGCATATATTGCATACAACATGCATGAGATATGATAAAATGTAATAAAACTATACTGAATCAAAATTACCAACAAATTAAAGTAATCTTTCTGAGAAGTCTCTCTAGTAGCCATGTTGATATAATAGAGCATTTGAAACGTCACGTCGCGCGTCGGATGCAACCTATAACCGGATCAAAATATAACCGCGACAAAATGCGAAAAAGCAAGTTTTATTTACAATTCAGTCAATTTTATTTGTATCAGTGAGCTAGTTAAGGTAGGGCAGAGTTGATGCAACTTTTACAAGATGCTGATAACGGACAATGGTTTTTATCTCCGAAATATTTCAAATAATGTAAGAAAATTAGGAAACAAAACAAGTGAAATAAATATTTAGCTATTAATGTCCGAATTCACCGGAAACAGCTGGTTGATAATATTATTACGATAATGAAATTAAAATTTGTTTACATTAGATACTAGCGTTTTAACGTTTAGTGTAGATTTCTCAGAGATGAGATATTTTCCAGCAATATAAATTATTCTATGTGTTGACGCGGATAACCAACTATCACCATACCAAATTTCATCAAAACCTTTCCAGTGGTTTTCTCGTGATGCGTTCCCAGACAGACATACAGACAGACAAAAATAATAAAAACTATAGATTCGGCCCCTTTATAATAATGAATATTTCAATAAGTTTTTCCAAAAAAATTAATGTACAGATTCCACTCAGAATTTTATTATATGTATAGATTGGAGGATATGTAACAAACAAATAATCAGTAAAATTTACAAAAATCGTAGTACGTAAAGTGCCTACTTTTGTACTTTGACTAATATGAGTAACGCCAATTTCCCTTTATCTTTTATCAATGTTATATCTGATAGCTTTATGGTACTTATATGTATACAATATCAAGTTAGCATTTAGTCACCCAAAATTTTTGTATCGGTTGGTTGGTTTGATTTACAGCAACTGAAATCAAAAATGTGTTCACTCGTTAAATATGGGCTGTTTGCTGTTAATTTAATTTTCGCTGTAAGTATTTCTAATATTATTAATATAAATAGTTAAAATTCGTGAGTTTGGCTCGAAGAAGTATACTCCGAAACTAAAGAACTGATTCCGAAAATTTATTTACTAATCGAAAACGGTTTCCCATGTACAACGACACCTTGAATTAAATTAATCTATTTGAACCTACATTACCAAACTTGCGAAAACGCACAGACTATAGTTGAGTATATTAATGTATATTGTAAATGTGGATAACGCTAGTCAGAGATCATGTTCAAAATAATTTATTTCTAATCGTGAGTTGAAATATTGGTTGAATTACGAGTAGGTACTTTATCTTATTATATTTGATAAATTTTCTTTGATTTACAGATACTGACATTTGATTTGACTTGTTATGATACTTTATTAAATTAATAACTATACTTTAATGTAACGTAATTCAATTTCACTAGAAATCATGTTTTCTAAACAAAAAGCATATATACATATAATGTGTTGGAATTCGGCAATATTATAGTGTAGTGATGAATCACCTCAACGTACGTACGTACAAGCTTAACTTGATAAAATATCGATTTTTTTCAGTTAGCCGGCCTCGCACTGCTTGGTGTCGGTATAGCAGTTCTCTTGCAACTCGCTGATTTCTCCGAGTTAGTGGATGCTGCTTACGTCGACTCCATTCCGGTTGTCACAATAGTTTTGGGTGTGCTGACTTTCCTGATAGCATTCTTTGGATGCTGTGGAGCTATCAAGGAGAACGGCTGCTTACTTGTTACGGTGAGACGACGAACTTATACAATGCGGTGCATTGTCTGAACTTATATCGTATATAGATAATGACATATGCATATAAATACATATGTATGTAAATATGTAATTTTTCTGATCTAGTCTTAATATTAAATGGTGCACAGTGAATAAGTGCCTACTACAACATAAAGTATCTGAATAATGTCGAAAATCAAAAAATTGAAAAAATTGTTAAGGGAGTTCAATCCCTGTAGAAAATTATATTATTAAGCTAACATTGTTAACCAAAAATCTATTGACTGATGAAAATTTGATTTTATGTTTATTTAAAACATTTTATATTTTTTTTTTTTTAAATTCACAGTATGGAATATTCATGCTCGTGCTGGCCAGTGGAAAAATATACATTTCAGTCGTAACTTTCACGAATTGGAACAACATTTATGATGCAGTCACAGATTGGCTCACTGAAGCTTTCAGGGACACCACCGTCCGAGAAAATTACCATGGATTAGAAAGAACTGTAAGTTACGTAATAAAACTTCTATTATAATTACGAAAGTTTGTATGTTTGTATGTGTGTGTTTGTTACTCCTTTACTCTGAAATTACTGGACAGGTTTGGATGAAATCTAGTACATAACTATAGCCATCATAACCTATGACCTGAAGTAACAAATAGGCACCAAGAGACGCATCGTAGCGAAGCAAGGGTTAGTATACATATGTAATAAGTATTTTTTTTATTTTCTATCCCATATGTGATAGCGCTGATGCAACGAGGGTTGATGTTTATAAAAGGTAAGATTTGTATAATACATGTAGCTGTAGGTGTTTAAACAATAGTGAATAGAGTAATCGCGAAACTCCAAAACCGATAATTAGCGCGTTTGATATGAACGACAGACTGTGAAACTGCTACTTTGGTATTGTCTAACATAAACGTTAATATATAAGAGTTTTACGTTCAATTGTTGCACATTTTAATATACAAAATTCCCATGTCACGACGTTGGTCCGCGATGAATTCCGAAACTACTTATCCGATCTTAACGTTTTTTTTAAATATGTGATTTGTAAAAACTTAAAAGGCATGATAGTTTTTATCCCGATTATTTTCTTTTTTATTGCAAAATTAACCATTTTCATAGTCGGAGAGGGATTCTGGCGAGAGAACCTGAGAATATCTATCCTATCTAGAATATCTATCCCGGCTATCCTAAGCTACAAATCCTACCAATAAGCTAAAGAAAAAAAAAATTATAAGTGTGCTACAGCGATGCGTGGCCGATCTGCTTGGTACCTATATTATAATCATTCGAACATACTATTATATAATTTATTTATTAATTGAAAGATATCGTTAGCCAATAAGTATAGTGATTTCATTGGTCACTAAGCAGTATTAATAAAATAAGATATCACGATTGAAGAATAGGAAATTTTTCAATAAAAAAATATTTTTACAACACTCATTAAAATATTATTTTAGATACTAGATGATAAGGTGTCGCTTTTAATGATACGCGTAGCCTCGACCGTAAACGCGATAGAGATTAGTAGTAGACACGATTGTTGTACTTATTATTTTTTCTAATATAACAAATTAGCAACTCACCCTCGCCCTGTTTGGGTTCGTCCCCAGTTTCGTTCGAGGGATCTAAAAATATAACTAAATTCTAATATATGTATATCTTAGCGGTTCCTACTTCTATATTTTTCTCGTTGTCATTTGAATATAGTTTTATGCTAGTCAGATTTTTCCTGAATGAAAAACCTACGCCCATACAAATAGTAGACATGCAATTTCATTTGAATATGTGAGCCCTTATAACATTAAAAAGTAGCAAACATACTCATTCACGGACTTTAGTACTAATACGAGTATTAGAAATGCAAACGTTCGTGAGGATGTTGTTAATCTTTCACGCAAAAACTACTGAATGGGTTTTAATGAAACTTTACAGTAATTATAGTGTATAAATTACAGCTTGTGTTATTCTGATACATATGCTACATATATACACAGAACAATAGCACGCATAATGTACATTGTATACAATTGAACTATGCAGGCCGCAGGGCCGCGTGTGAACGCTAGTTTATTAAATAAAGATAAATTATTATCGTATTCAACCCTTTTTAACGTCCTTGGGCACGGGTCTCCCTTTAATACGACGGGGATCAGGCCATAGTCCATCCCGCTGGCCAAGTACGGGTGGGCGGAGGTCTCTCAGCATATCTACAGGTTTCCTTACGATGTTTTTGCCTTCACCGTAAGACAAATGATAATCATGTAGGAAATGATTCGCACATGAAAATATCATCACAGGTCCGACCTAGGATTTGAACCTGCTTCACTCAGTTTCCCAAGCGAGCTCGTTACCACTAAGCTACCACAACCTATGATTATTATTATATTCTTATTGTAATATTACAGTTTAGTTGTTGCGGCACGGTAGGATATCAATCGTACCTACCAGAGCCCATACCGGCCTCGTGTTGTCCTGAAAACTTGACATCATGTACTCCAGGCGACACATTTGATGGGTGCATTCAAGTCATCAGCTCCTTCCTCGAAACGTATGCAGAAGTGATCGGAATTGTTGCGATTGTAGTTATTGTTGTGGAGGTGAGTCTTTTTGCATATATTAATATTTGAAAATTATTAATAAATTAATAATTAGCTATAATGGAAGTTAAAATCTAATTAAACAAATAATGAGGGGTAAAATGAAGCCAAAAGGATAATCAGTGTTCACTTTTTCAGCCAAAATCTGTAGTTATCCGAAAATGTTGCCAGATTTAAGATTTTTCTTAATTTTATTTGTTTTAATTTTTTGAACTACATCCATATAAAATACTTATTATCTTTTATTTGTTAGTATCATCACCTTAAAGCAAAGCTATACTACTTTTTAGCATTGGAATGAAATTGTCGAAATTTAGTTGAACATTTTATTTTTACTAAAAAATAATTAAATTTGGAGATAACGTGGTAATACAATTTTTTTTTCAGGTAATGGCTATGTTCTTGAGTTTTTGCTTGTGCCGAAATGTCAGTCAAAAGGAATAATTTAAAGTAAATTATAATAATTTATAGACTTTAGAGGAAATACGAGTATTTTATATAATATATTATTATTTTTATAGAAAGGGACTTTTTAGGAAGGTATAATATGTGAGAAATCTTCTCCGTATGAACCTTATAAAATCTCTTCTTTTGAAACTTTCAAATATGTCAAAGATTCAAAAGCTTAATAGAATGAATGACTTGTTTAGTGTATTATTGGTATGCAACTTAAATTGGAAGCAAGTGTAAAAATGCTGTGAAAAATCTAACTTTTTAAATGATTAAAAATATAGATTCATGGAGGGAAAAGATTGTAGGGGCATTGACTTTTTGAACTCGCTTTGCTTCTGCACTTCTGTAAGACGGTGATTCGAATTCTGGATAGGGCAAATATTTTTGCAGACTATAATAGACAAATGTTACGATTCAGGTTAATAAAAAATAAATAATACTACCCTTTAATTGTCAAGAAGCAGAGGCAAAAAAACATCAAGGGTGCATTCGCGGTGTTCACGTTCAATGTACGAGTAGGTACATTGGTAATTGTACAATATGATAACGATCGCGAAGCCATTTTAGCATTATTCTACTGAAATATTATCGTTTTTTTAATCAAAAATCGATAATCTAGTAATGGAAAGGTGCAGTAAACGTTATCTTTTGTTATTAAAAATATTTTGTGCGTATGTTGTATGGTAAATAAAACGATAAAATAAAGTGGGTTTTTTTTATTAAAAAGAGAGTTATCTTTCCAGCAGCAGAGAAAAAATATATTTATATAATAATAAACTTTTTTATTTATAAACAGATAAATGGAACATTGACCATAGCATTTTTACAAAATAGGTTTGTACAATTTAATTTCAATCGGCTGGATGGAGTTCTGTACTCCTTGCTAGGTTATAAAATAATTTGTATTAAGGAGTACAGTCCTGTTCCGCTTTGGCTATTTAAAAATATACCTACTTATTTACGTACAATGTTTTCCAACCCGCACTCGGCCAGAGTGGTGGACTATTTCCTGATCCCCCTCGTATTCAATTTGGAGGCAGGTGCCCAGCAGTGGGGCTACTAATTACACTATTAAGTTATATTGTCAATGGAAGATTAGGGCTTAATAAAATAAAAGAGCTAAGAGCCCTAAGACGACAACGATGCTAAAAAAATACACCAGTAAATAATAATGATCTCTAAGACAACGGTCAATCTGAGTGTTATATACTTTTTTTTACTTTAATTATATATTTATTCTGATCCACTAATGATAATTACATTGAAACATTAATTTTAAACTAAAGACACAACGTCACTTAAACCTAAATGCATTACCTTTTTAAGTACAGCGTGTAATAATTTCAATTCACAATTTTAAATATCAATCAGATAGACCGTCGTACTCCAATATTATAAAAACATTAAGTTTATACATAAGTTTATAAGTTTGGATGTAAATGAAACTTTCATTATTTTATATTTACCGCCGAGCTTTATATTTACTTGATAGAAATTTACTTACCGTCACAAATCATAATAATTTTAAATAATATCTGAAAAACTGGCTGCTCATTTGCTATATCGGGGTACGCTGCCCTAATTAAATATGGTAGGTAATATTACTATACACCTTATTAATTAATATTTGGCGATAAAACTTATTACGAATGCTATGTTATGGGAACCACTAGGTTCAGCTCTCCTTAGTCTAAGTATCCATAAATACATTTTAATTTTTAAACCTGCAGTCAAAATTAAATATTCGGTACTTAAAAGAAGAAAGTCAGTAACGGCCCGGAGTTGGGATGGTTAGAGTTGGGAAGAAGAACAGGTATAAAAATAGTAAACTTGTGTTGGTGCTTACACTTGTGCATTATAATATCTCATGGTTCATGGTCTCATGGAGATTGGCTGCCGTGCCTGAAATTGGTCAGAGGAATATCATCTATGGCTTGGAAGAGGCTTTGAAAGACAATTAAAGGATATATGTTATTCTTGGATATTAACGAGACGTAGTTTTTAAGATATAGTGAAAGGATTTTTATCCGATCAGAAGTTTCCGAGTTTATTGATTACAAGCTAACAAACAAACACATCAATAAATATTTTCTCTTTATAAGATAAGTATGGATAATACTTCCTAGAAATGATGTGATTGCCTTAAATAAATAAAAGAAATGCGCTACAGTCACGGCTAATTTATTTCGCAAGTACTTTCAGCATTTAGATATTTCCTTTGTGAATTATTGGTAGTTTGTGATATACAGTAAAAAATATACATATATTTTATGGATTTTTAAATAAATTTTACTATGTAAGAGGTCCCTGCTACCTATGGATATTAGGTTTAGGAATTTATTACGCAAAACTCTTAAACTTATTTTAAAATTCTTTAAAAGCTTAACTTAATTTCCATACGTTAAAATAAATAAAACTACCATGGTAACACAATTTTACATCTATTATGGTCACGAGAAAGTCCCGTTAGTCTCTCCCGTGACCATCATGATACGTGCAAAGCATTCGAAACGTCGGGAACAAAAAATTAAAATAAATCCGCGAAAAAATCCGACAAATTTCGCCTAAGCAAAAGTGTTCGACTACTTTATTTTATACAATAAAATTAAATAACCAAATTTCGCTTTTCTCATATTAGCATTAATAATCTCAGAAAAGTTGGTGTTAATGTATTAACAATGAAATGTTTATATGAATGTAATATATCTAATTGCTATAACTATGCGCAAGCGCAGTACAAAATATACATATTAGCTACACTTTCTTTACATATTTGCGTAGTATATTTTTACTATTTGATGTTATAATTAGACTTTTAAATAAATACTCTTCTCTTTTGAATAAATTCTTCAAGAAAAGTTTTCGTCAATTTTGATGCCAATTTTGGATATTTCTGACCATTAGAGTCAGTATTGTGAATCAAAATGGGTATTCATAGAAATATAACAATCAATTTTGTATATACAGACCTTGCTTACTACACCACTTGCTTTTGCTCCTCTAAGACGTCAACGAGAGGTCGTACGTAGAGGTCTTTAACATTTTTATGAGCTATTTTTATTAACTGTTCCAATAAGTTCAGATGTAAACAAGAGTAAGAAAAAATGTTAACTAAAGGATTTAGCCTGCTTTATTTAATTTATCCACATGTTCATTGTTCATTATTTATTAACTGAAATGAAATCAAATCAACTTTACTCAATTAGACTTATTACAAGCACTTTTGAATCGTAAATTTAATTTAAGCGTCAGTGTAATCAGTCCGTGAGGAAGCTACCACCGGCTCGGAAAGCAGTTCTGCTGAAAGGAATCGGCGAGAAACTAGACAGTTGTCTTTTAAATATCGAAGCCACTATACTAAAATGCTTAATATTAAAAATGAATCCAGTTTACATTATACGTACTCGGCTCGTCAAACCTTAGAACTGGCGGTAAACTTTGATCAATTGGTCTGGCTCCAAGTTTACAATTACCAGACTATCTGCACGGTCCACTCTGCTATTAGAAAAGTATACAGAAGTAAACTAGCTGTCAATTAAAGTCATATTTTAAAAAGGGGGTGATTCTGCCCATTCGGATGTTACGAGGTCTCTCCACAACAGAATGACAAAGTAGACACACATTCGGGGAGGAGATATATACTTAGTATATAGCACTTGATATATGTACGTGGGACTAGTGCACAAAATAGCTATAGATATATAGGTACATAATATGTAGATATCGACTACATAATTTTTTTTCTTATAACAAAGTATCACATCAATGTCTGCCAATAAAAAAGCTAAAAAAGTCATTTCTATATCTGGTATCTTCAAGAAATAACATAATTCCCATATATTATAGAACGGATGTGGAACTTGTATAAATTAAGCTAAGATCACATTATGTATAGCTAAGCTAAAGCGAGATAAGAATATAAGAAGAAAGATCACAGACATTTTAATTTTATTTATTACGTGTACGATTATTATTCTTGGATATACTGATTATGTCATGTTTTGGAGACCATTTTCGTAAATATGTAATACTAGCAGAATCCGCGGCTTCGCTCGCGCTAAAACTACAAAAAAAACTTTAAAAAGTAGGTTTCATACAAACTTTTATCCCCTGTTTTACCCCCTTATGAGATGAATTTCGAAAAATGCTAAAACACGTATTTCCTTAATTGTATTGAAGAACATTTATACCAAGTTTCAAGTAATTCTGATCATAAATATTTTTTAGATTGTATTACAACGTGTTTTCCCGTGAAAAAGAGATAATCTCCCTCGGTAAAAAGTAGCCTATGTCACTCTCCAGCCCTCCAACTATCTCCACACAAAAAATCATGGCAATCCGTCACTCCGTTTCGACGTGAAAGACAAACACACAAACAAACAAACAAACAAACAAACAAACAAACAAACAAACAAACAAACAAACACACACACTTCCACATATTATAAATGTTTATATATATATTAGTATGGATTTCTAGGTTTTTAATTATTATATAATATACATGACGATCAATTTGCCAAATACCGCCATTTTGCTTTATATTGGAGCATATAGGAAAGATAGGTCTTGTTGTATCTTATACCTCATTCTTCTCGATTTAACTTAAACTTACATAATATGTATTACAGATACCATTCATTCTCAAGTACTATAAAGTTATTAATTTATAATATTATTACATGTGTGGAAGTTTGTGAGGATGGATGGATGTTTGTTATTCTTGCACGCAAAAAACTACTAAACAGATTTTAATAAAACTACATGATAATATAACTTATATATCGGAGTACATAGGCTATATTTTAAAAAGATACACTGATACATAATTGAATTATGAGGATGGAACCGCGGAAAACGCTTTCATTACAATCCAAATAACCTGCAATCAATTTTTAAACAACTTTACCGCTACCGAGTCCAGTCTTAACCAAGCATAGCTTACCTTCTTTGCATTTTTCTTTTAAAGATTTCTTCAATAGGTAATA